TTATTTTGATGCACGAAAAGTGAATGTGGAATATCGAGTCTCTAAAGGTCATATAGCCATTTATTAAGAAGTTATTGGTATTTTGCAATAACAATAAAAATGTTGAGAAATAATACAATTATTTAAAACTAATATTTAATAATATCCGAATATGTTGGACACACAAATGATTTTTCTATACGCGCGGATCTAGTGATGGGACTACAAGGCACAGTCGCTATCAAACCACAAGCAATATATAAGGAAATTGTTTTAAATCAATTCTATGGTGACAATTTTGTCGTTGACAAGAACAAATCGAAATAAAGCAATATAAGCAAACATATATTGCGCAGAAAACTAATAAGATAACAAAAGTCCTCTCTCAATCAAAAAATAATAGCTAATGTCGCAGCATTTACGCGACAAGCTAAATAAATGCTATTTCCATTTCCAAGCAGAGTTATCCATCATTCTAATAATAACGCGAAAGTTTAGATGGATAAATGTTTGTTAGAGTTTATAGCCTAAACGGGTGAACGGATATCTATTAAATTTGGTATAGATGTAGAGGATAGTCTGGAAGAACACATAGGCTATACACTATTGTTTTTTTTTTAATTCCACGCTAATTGAATCGCGGGCGAAAGCTAGTTATCCATATAATAAAGAACAGTTGTTCATGGTTGGTTTACATAAAATGGTATGCATTAATAAAGGAAAGTAACTTAATTCAAAACTTACGCATCAGAAAGAAAATCTCACATTGCCGTGTATTCTATGAACAATTCAACACCTCACATTTTATTTAGATGTACTGGTTCTAATCAAGTCATACTTTTATGAGGCACTTTCACATCGGAACACTTTTTGGTCACATAATTTCACAAACACTGTTTCTTTCACATCTCCACTTACCATCCTTGATAGGTTGACAGAATCTGATGTTAATCGATGTTAATCTATATGGCAAGGGCCAAGGGCGAATAGATCACGAATGTTTATACAAAGTGTCATTTAAAATGTTTGGAGCGTACAGTCAGAGCCCTTCGCGGTGGTCCACTTACAGAAAGTCCAGTTGCAACTAAGCAACCATTTCTTAAAAAATAATCATTAGGTAGTGTATCAGTGTATCAGTGAGTTGAGCAAACGATGAAATTATAATAAAGCTAGCTTTCGGCCGTGACTACGTCTGCGTGGAATTAAAAAAAACAACAATAGTCTATGTTCTTCCAGATTATCCTCTACATTTATACCAAATTTCATCGAAATCCGGTCATATAGGGTCGGAAAAATCTTCAGGTTTCAAACATCCATCCATCCATCTAAACTTTATTATTTATATCAATATAAATAAGTATAAAGTAAGATTAGTCGTGTACCACTGAACGACACATTTAAAAGCTTTCTATTCATTGTTTTGCATCCTCGCAATACGTACAAAATGTTCAATTTGACAGCTTTGACGATTTTACTAGCAACATCTAACAAAGTATGAAACATATTGTTTTTTCTACTTTTTCAATGACAATGAAAGGGATGACAATATTATATTTTACATTTTATACGAGTGTGTCAGTACAAACGCTTACAAACATGAGATATTCAAACGGTTCCAATCAAGTTATTATAAAGTCGTTAGCACTGATATGATGGTAACTTAACATATTAGGTCGTTTGAAGATTTTTGTGTAAACATTCGGCAACTTTCTAAAGTATTGACATTATAAATAACTATGTGAATGCTAAAGAACTGTAAAAATGTCGTCGCACTTGGACAATAAATTGTAAGAACGGTATACACGGAAGAGGTCTTGAAGGTAATAAATATTTTTACATATAATTTTAATGCGCACAAAGCCTTATGATTCATTGATTTACGTTTAAAATCAAAACATATTTCCTCCAAATTAATTGAAACCATACTTCATACTAATGTTATAAATGTGAAAGTTTAGCTAGATGAAAGGATGGATGGATGTTACTTAGACTTTGTAGCCTAAACGGCTGAACGGATTTCAATGAAATTTGGCATAGATGTAGAGGATAATTCGAAAGAACATATAGTCTACTTACTTTTGTTTTTTTTTAATACCACGCAAACGGAGTTGCGGGCGAAAGCTACTGATGTATAAAATAAATGTAAGTGCACATTATAAATCAATTGAAAGTCAAGGAATTTACTTAGTTATATAGAAAAAGTCATTATTGGCTTGAAGTCAATCTTCTATCATAGACATAAGTCTACCGGATGTCCGCACTCAAAGGAACGGAAACTCTCTCTTTTGCATTTTCTATAAACATACAGTTATTAGTAAACGTACTTTATGATTATGATCTACTAGCTTTAACACGCGATCCCGTCCGCGTGGAATTAAAAAAAAGAGTGAGTAGCCTATGTGTTCTTTCCGACTATCCTCTACACATATACCAAATTTCATCGAGATCCATTCACCGGTGTAGGCTATAGATTCTAACAAACATCCATCTATCTAAAATTTCGCTTTTTTAATATTAGTGTTAGGAACAAAATTAGTACCGTGCTGTAGAGTTGGCGCAACTCTAGATTATCGGCATAAACATCACGTCCCTAGCTGACAGCTGTCAATGTCACTAGAAGGATGGATAGATTGGCGCGCATTCAGAGTCCTGGCGAGAAGTGTTGCTCCGAGTTTAAAGCGACAGTATCAATTAAATAAGTGGTCTAAAATTAGTAAGATATTACATACTAAGAGCAATCATCATTTTATGGATTTCAAATAATTTGCAATTATACTCATTTAATTATAAAATAATCAATATTGTTTGATATATGGTTAGTTGTGAATTTCATTACGAATCAATACCCAAAGATTAGATAACAAGACAGAAGCGAACCACAATAACAATCTCTGTTATATTCAAACCTGCTAATATCTAAGCGTGTTTACTCGTTCGATGTACATCTTGTATGAATAATTTCTTAAATCTGTAATCTCTACATCCATATCCTACAAAAACACTAAATACTCAAATAGCATTCAAGAAGATATATGTCGTTCTGTTGCAAGACCACATAATGTATGTAAGAGCTATCCGCCATTTTGTTCCGAATGGCTAACCAGAGACAATGGCTGCGAATAAGTACCTTTGTAAGCAGGGAGTTTATATTTAAAAATTGTAGAGATTCATACTGAAAATAAATAAATAATAAACAGCATTACTAAATATTCTACATTTAATGTAAAGAATTATTGTCAAAAAGTTTAATAGGAAGTTGAAAACGTATAGATATTGTAATATTTTACTTAACTTATCAAAGCAAACAACCAAGGAATTTACTCTTTAAATGATCCGGCAAAGATTACGAATGCGAAGAAAGTTCACTCGTCATAATTGGGTCAATTTTAGAGGTCTCAATTGATTTGACATAACATACAAAATACACTAAAAACAATACCCTTTAGAGTTAGGTTAAAGAAAAAAACATTCTCAATATTTTTCTTCTAAACACGGTCAAGGATATTCCATTGTTAATAATTATTTTTGAAGATGTATTAAGTCTTGTTGTGCAGAAGATAAATTAGATGACGTGAGCATTATTATATTATACGTAGAAATAAGTGTAAAATCGTTTATTTTGATATTTTATAGTTATCTAAATTAATGTGTTGTGGCAGGGTTATCAATTATTATATAAATGTTAATAACATGCACTTTATAATAATGTTTATTTATGGTTTATATGATAAACGTTATAACCGTACATTTGAACATAAATAAATATCGATTTATCCTCAATGTAAACTTCTAGTACAATATTTGTAATTGTACAATCCTTTCGAAACTCATATTAAAGGATTCAAATCTTCCGAGGATTTTCGAAACACAGGACGGAAAATAAGAAGTAAAGGGAGGTTTTTGTATTAAATATATTATATATACTTATATTCCAATGTTCCGGTAATAAATTGTGTTATAAATAAAGTAAACAGTTCACAAAATACATGACGATATAGACAGCATTTCTCAAGGTGTGTATATAATATGACCAGTGTAATATGATCGAATAGGCTAACGCATTTCGTGCAAGTGTAAAAATCTTATGAATTCGGCGCTAAAATTTTATGACAATAATAACCGTATCGTGTTACTTGTTGAATATGCCACTTCCTACTTGATTCGGCGACAACTTTCAAGTGGGTGGGCATTGAGGTCGTCGACATACATAAGAATATGTGTAACATGAAAACAATACGATTTAATATTAGACTGTCGAAAACATAACCATCTTACGATCGTAGCCTTGTTTTAGTATTGCCCGCGCCCTGCACGAGCGGCGATATACGATAACAGGGTCATTTATGTCGCCTATGCCCTGTTACGCCTCTTGTGCGGTTACCCCACCTCGTTCTACTCTAACGCCACTACTGGCAGTGATAAAGGACTTCCATCCCGCACGGTGCTGACCTCTTTTGCTTCTTCTACATACATCTACGCATACACTTTTGCAACTTTTCTTATGGCCATTCCTCTATGTCGATTGCCGTTAAATTGGAATTTCAAGTGACATTGAATTAAATACGTACTGCTATATTTACATGTTAATAATTTTAAAGGAAATCGTTTAATCTGGATACTGATATTTAATGAACATATTTGCCTGCGTAAGTACTGTCATGCAAATGTATATTGCCTGAATAAAAATTAAAACAAAAAATAAATGTAATATAAAAAAATAACTTATTGAATAAGAGAAACCGGAAAAAATTAGCATTTACTGCAATAACTGTTTATAATATTAGAAATAACATTATGTGCTAAATTTTCGAGCATAGTTTTATTTTGGTGAACTTTTCAAAGTTAATTAAATTGAACTAAATCTTGCAAGGTTATCAAAAAGTAAATTGCAACTTGACACTTTATTTTTAAAACAGATGATAGAAAGATAGAGAGTTTTTTTTAATAAACCTTGAAATATATCTTATTTTTGCTGTGCCACTGGCCGACTAGAAAGCGTCATACATGTACTTAACTTTAACACACCGGCTCTCGCGCGCACTACAACAACACGCAACGCCGAGCCGCGCGGACGGTCGCCGCCATTTTTCCGCGGGAAAAATTCGCGCCAATTAGATTATGTGAATTTGAATTTCGAATCGTTTCTTTTTCAAGTGTCAAAATGCTTTTTGTGCTAGTTCTGTTTGTGTGTGCGTGGAACGCTGTTTACTGTCAAGATGTAAACACAATGATGAATATGCCTAAATACGACGCTAGATATGATTACTTGGATGTTGATGCGTTGTTTAATAGTAAGAGATTAGTGAGGAACTATGTGGACTGTTTAATTAATTCGCAACGGTGCACACCTGAAGGAAAAGCTTTGAAAAGTAAGTTTTTGATATTCCATTTATTTAGATGCAATTTGCAACGAATGCGACCGAACTTTATTTTAACCGGTTTAAAGGTTAAATGCATCTGTTTTACTATTCCAACTATTTAGACGTTGAAAAACTAGTTTCTATTTCAATAATTAATCATACTAATAATATGTGAAAGTTGAGATGTTAGAGTTTGTAGTCTAAACAGCTGAACGATTACGATGAAATTTAGAGGATGGTGTGGAAGAACACATTAGTTACTTTTATTTTTTTAACTCCATGCGAACGGAGTCGCGGACGAAAGTTAGTTTGATAAATTTTTTATCTGTACTACTGGTTATTTTAAAATTTTATTTGTTCAAAATGATAAACAGAAGCTAAAACAAGTAAAAAAGAGAATAGAATATTCATACCACTTTTATAATAATGTCCATATAATTTGATTTTTCACTAAATGTTGCTCGCATTCACCCGCGTGGATTTAAAAAATATTAAAAACATAGCCTGTGTAACTCACTGATAACGTAGTTTTTGAGTTATTTCATTGCATACAAAAATACAAAATATATGGCATAGAAAGTGTTTGTGAACGGTCGTCCATTGTTTTTCAATTTGTCAATCCTTGGCTAATTTTAGTTCCCCTTATTTGGGGAATTATCATAAATTTATAGAACTCTACGATTCTAGTAAACATTACGGAATTTTTCATATGCAATTAAATAATTAATTATCACTAATTAAAACAAGGAAAAGGCACACAAACGAGTCTTAAAAACTAAATAATAACTTAAGGTTATTTTTTAAGATAAAATTATAGTTTTTTTGGTTAAGATGATTCGTGAAACATACAAAAATGGTTAATTAATTCAAACAGAACAAAAAATGTAATTAGCCAATTAAGAACAATGTATAACATCATTATTATTTTATTACTAGTTTGGGATGAATTAACTTAAATAACATTTATTATTCCTTTAAAGGTTTATTTTTATTTATTTATTTATTTAATGCTTTGACACAAATAATACACTAAAGCTTAAATTAAGCAATTCTAGATTTGTGCAAGGGCCTTATCGCTAAGAGCGATCTCTTCCAGGCAACCCAGTGGGACAGAAGTAAGACAAACACACAAGGGTATTTAATAGATATATAACACAAACATTATAATATATATAATACATTTACAGCTGACATTATATTAAATAAACTTACATAGATAGCAGTAAACTTAAAAAAAAGCATAACAACATAGCAGGACCTTCCTCGGGAGAGCTGTGCAACTGAGACTTAAAGATAGCCAGGGACTTAGACTGGCGAGCTAGCGGCGTACTGTGGACTCTGCCCCACTTTGGGGACATAGGAAAAGAAGAGAGAGAGAGGGACTTAGACTCGTGAATGTCTCGTGGCAGATTTCCACAGTTGTGTAGCTTTCACAGTAAAAGAACTCACGAAATGACTTGATCACAATAACTGTGATTTCATTATAGTTCCACTCTATTTCTACCAATACTTGATATGTTAATATCAGTTACTGTAAAAATAAGTGCATAATCTAAATTTTTTTAATGTCGGAACTAAATTTTTGAAGCATTTTAAACAGATCAGGGTAAGCAAGATTTTAACTTGAAGACTTTTTATTATAAAACTTAAAATATAAACGAAAAAGCTTCCGGTATGAAATACTCAACTTTAATTTTAATAGTAGCAAGAGATTGTGTAACTTACATTACTTAATTTTAACATAATCTTAAATTTCTTGTTTACTTTCATAAAAGTGAGTTAAATACAAAATTAGCACAAAATATTATGCTTATATTTGACCATTTATATACTTGCAATAATAGATTCTTCGCATAGAACACATAATTAAAAAAACACACAGATTTTAGAAAATCATAGTTAAAAACGAACATGACTTTACATAAATCCTGTCTATTCCGGTAGACAGTTGATTTGGCATTAAAACCACCCCTAATGCCTTAAGTTGTCATGTCATATTCATAGATTTTTGAAATAGATATTGTTTATACTACTATACTAAGATATTTTGTGACAAAAAGGCCTTAATCTTAAGTTAACTAACTTAACTAACTGCACACATAATGAATAAAATCGTCCTTACAGAATTAGTACCATGGTTGTGAAGAGAAAGGTATGACGTTTATTCCAATGCCCTAGGACGTCGAACTCTGTCGATACCTATTGCCGATATGTATTGAAATAATTCAAAAACTACAGAAACGATTAAAAAAAAATCACGACTAAAAAGATACGTTATCAGTAACATGGGCTATGTTCTAATTCTTTTTTTAATTTCACGCAGACGAAGTCGCGAGCAACACGTAGTTTATAATTTAAAAGTGACAAGCAACTAAAGAAAGTAGAGAAATTCATCAAACATTACGTCATATCCTGTCATTTAAAACTCCAATTGTTAGACAAAATTCAGGTTTTGTTTATACTAGCAGACGTGTACACTGTACGAGGACCGTTGCACGACACAGTTAGCAAGGCCGCGGTATTACGCATTCTGCTCGCGTTGAATACTGATCCCTGCACAACGGGATTGATAATATTGAGCCCTACACAATGCACTACGACTTAGTGTATCTTGCATAACCCCATTCAAACAATTATTTCAAACTTATTCAAATGTATGATGGATGGATTAAAAAGCGAAAACACACCGGGTCCATACATCTCAGCAGTAATGCTTTAGACGTAATTATGTATGGATTCTATCCTTGAGGAAAACAATTGACAAAATCAAACCTTTTTCAATGAAGTAAAAAAAACTTACGGAAACATAGACGCACATATAAGATCATACTTGCATATTGAATGTGCGTATGAGCTTGCGATTAACGACTTATATGGGGAACGTGTACAGCATGGCGTTGTCTCTAACAAGATCTGAATAAACAATAAACACATTGAACGTTTATTCTTTAACTATGACGTTTGATAAGAATACATTATTCGGAATTAAAATTCGGAAAATCCACCATCAAAATTATCCGATTAGATCCAAATAAAACTGTGTTATAGTTATTTAGTTTTATTCGTTTCTATTCCAACAAGAAATTTTTGTCATTGATCTTAAATTATTATGATTTCTTACAAAGATTTCTACCATAAAAGTATGAAAATAAGAATTTTACTGTTTTTAATGTTGCTTTTCAAGTTTCTATCCGTCTCACATTTCGTCCTTGATTTTAAGCTGGCTATGAACTATGTCAAAAAACTGTATTCAGTAGAATAACATAATAAAGATTATCATAACAAAAGCAGCGTTTATTCGTGATTTCCACGAACATATCACACGTACAATCAGCATCAGTGCCATCTGGTTCATGAGAAGATGATCTCTTTTGTACTAACGATATAGTTTTTTTAAGAACTATATGGATTCGACAAACAAGGCAGCAGGCCACCTGGTATTGTGACTAGTCGCATCCTTTAGTGCCCCCCGCACACTAATTTTTATTCGGCTGATTGTTTTAGTCGGTCGCTTGATTATATGAACATGTATGGAGGTGCGTTACACTAATTTTGTTTTTTATTATTATGGCTTGATATCTTTATTAAGGTGTCAGTCGATAAAAAGTCTGTAGTCTGCATGTCTAAACATCGACAGCAAAATTGTTGTTTTGTTATTATATTGTTATATCTCGTTTAGATTTTAAACGACTTCCCAAAAGAAGGTGTTTTCAATACGTCTGTCTTTTTACTATTTTCTATTATTAATGTATACTCTAGAATCTATAAGTATTGTGAAAATGTAAATCTCGAATTACATACCACTCATTAAATTTATTTATACATATGCAAATTTTAATGGAATGTAACTGGACTTTAAAAAAAATACTGATTCGAAATAACGACTTCGTCTGATGATAATAACTTAAGGTCATTGCCGTTGTAAGTTTTAAAACTGTTTTAAAACACAAACTAATGTGATCATTGTAAGATTGTTTGTCTGTCATTTTACACATTTTATTACTAATAATGAAAACGTTTAAATAACTAGAAAAATTAAATCGATTGTCATTGTAATTTTATTAAACTTGGACAATGTTAAACTTTTGCTTATTAACCATTACGTATAATTAATTAGAAGTTACGAGAAAAACAAAATACTAAAGCATGCGAAACTACGGGCAGAAGCTGGTATAAAAAGTCGAATATACAAGAAGGTAATTACAGGATAATTCAGAATGCTTTACATTAGTAAAATGTTTTTATTATGAGCTTCAAGCTAATTTACGCTTTGTTTTTGCCCACTCTATAATTATTACTCTGCAATATTAAGATTGAAACATTTTTGACGTCCAAAAACTGTTTTAGTTCTATTTATTTTTACAGGGTGCTTTATAGCTAAACGACTATAACGCCCCATAAGTCTAAAACTAACAAAACTCAATTATCTAACTTCACGACGTCTTTCTTAAGCAAATGTCGGCCAACTTAAACCACCATCCTTGATTCGTGCGTAGACGGGTATGCCAGGAACGTCCAAAAACTTAAAATACAAGTAAACTAAGTGTTCTATATCCAGTATTTTTTTAATAATTACTTGTTTTTCTTCACCATTTTAATAATCTCGTCGTAACTATAATTTTTAACTGTTCCTCAAATTTTAAAGGATGCATTTATAAAGAAAGGTCCTATGAATACACGTTGCTCGCCTTGCGATATCACGACAACGCAAACCTTCATTGGTAATAAGCATAACTTCCTGCAATCGCAAAAAGCATTGAAACTAAACTATTATTCATAATTGTTAGTACTTCAACCTCCTTATGTATGTAAATACGTAAATTATTGAAATACTAGCTGTTCCCGTGCGACTTCATCCGCATGAAATTATGAAAATTTTATTTTATTGTTTACATGTGTCAAATTATGAATTGCAAATGTCAAAATGACATGACAATGACAAACCATGGCAACCTTACTTCCTTGATGTTGGCAGCAACTTATGGTCTCTTTCCCACATTTGGGTTTTT